CTGAAAGAAGCTCAACTTCCTTTTATAGCTAAAAGAATACTGGTACTGAATCAGAGGACCTGGGTTGAAATCACCCCTCTGATACTTACTAATTATATGACCAGGGCCAAGTTCCATAACTTCCCTGGGCCTCAGGGTCTGTAAAATGAAGGAGATAAAACTGAAGACCTGTGACCCTATCATTCTATAAATTTGCTATAGTCAGCTTCCAATGAGGAACCTTCTCCACCTAAGCCGAATAACCCTTGCTCTGGGACTTCTAGTTTTGAGAGTAGCCTGGGATCACTGATAGGCCCTTAGTGAATTGCCTCAGGTTTCCCAGCCAAGGTGAATTTCACCTCAGAGTCCTATTCTGAGCACTGGAGGAGAAAGAGGTCAGTAAGGCATTGCCTCCCAAATCCTCACAGTCTAGTTGGAAGGAATAAGGTCTTCCTGAGTGTTGGTCCAATCTCCATTGGCTGTGCTATGTAGCCTGTGCTGGTAGAGAAGTAGTCTTAAGTTCCATGGTGGTCTAGTACATGGGGAGTAGTTGTTGTAAACCTTAAACGTGTTTCTGGAGATGGAATTTGGGATTATTCTCTGGACTTTCACTACCATGATGATGAGCCCAATTATGGGAAAGTGCAGTGGTGCGGGGTCAGCGGGATGCCTGAAGGTCCAGCCTTCATCTCTGATGTCTCAGATCTGCCCATCTCTATTTGGGGATCTGCATCTTTCTTCCTTCCCCCTTGTACTCGGCGCCCACATTCACTCCCTGTCATCGCACAAAAGTCTCAGTAGGGCTGGTTTATTTTTGCAACTGTGAACTCATTTGGGAAAAGAACCTGAAATTCCACACTTCTTGGGAGAAGCTTAAACTGCCTGGGAATCAAGGGTCTCTGGAAACCAACATTTAAAGTGCTCTTGCAGAGAAAGGCTGGCAATACTTTGGGTCCTAAAAAGACGCTGGCCTTCAGCACCTTGGCCAGCACTTGCCATCCTCGGAGACCTTACCTCTTGGGGCAGGAGCTAGAGATGCAGTTGTGGGGCTGAGGGCTGGATGTTATAGGGTTTCAGGTTTTTTTTTGGGGGGGGCAGCTTTTACTAACACTTTTTCTCCCCTAAATCCTGATTCTTTTTATCTCCCCTTGTGCCTGGAACAATTCTCTGTACACAGTAGATATCTCATAGATGTTGAATGAATAATGACTTCCAGTGATCACCCTGCCTCCAGTCTCTTTCCCCTCTAGGCATCTTTCATGCCCCTTCTAGAGTAATCTCTCCTATCCTTCCTTTCTTCCTTAAACCAGTGTGGAAGGAGAACCTACCAAGTTTAGAATGCCAAGCTTGGTGCTGAGGAAGATGCAGTGAAACGAAGACACAAAGTAAAGATAAATTAGACTCAGTTCCTGTCCTCAAGGAATTTGTAGTTTTAGAAGGACACACATACACATATACACAAACACATACATTCACAGAGTACAAAATTAGATTATGTGTCTGAAGAGAAGTAAAAACAAAAAGTTCCATTTCTAGAGTTTAGAGAGATCACTTCTGACTGGGAGAGGCAAGGGGGGAGAGCAGGGAAGGCTCCCTGGAGGAAGAGGCATTGGATCTAGAACTTGAAGCATAGGAGATATATCAACAGTGGAACATTAGGCATAGGGAATGTTAGGAACAAACACATGTTGATGGTAAATTGTTGGCTGTGTACCAGGAAGAATGAGTTGTCCTCTTGCCTGGAGAGTCACACATATGGAGAGGATTAATATGGCCACCTCAAAGTCTTTTGTCACTGTTCCCAATGCCTAGAATGCCCTCCCTCCCTCTTCCTTCAAAGCCTAATTCAAATAACACTTAAATGAGGTGATGAAATGTGAAATCAGCAGCAGTAGAATTGTGTGCACAGAGAACAACTACACATTTGTAGATACATTGTGTCTGGCATGTGTGTGTGTGTGTGTGTGTGTGTGTGTGTGTGATGAAAACAGGTCCTAATGTAGCACAGCTTCCAACAGACTCAAGAACAGAGTAAAAGCATCTTTTGTTTGTGGTCTGTTAACTCACTTGATCCTATTTTGCTGAATGCTGAGAGTTTAGGTAAGATTTTATTTCTTATTTTGTGTCTTTTATTATTTGACTTGGATATGGTTATTAAGCTTATAGTAAAGAATTGTTTAAGCCTAACTCAAATGCTATCTGAAAGGCTCTCATCAAAATGGCTGAACATAATGAAGCAGAAAAGTCCAGTTCCTTCCAAACTACTCCAGCAAGGATTTTTAAAAGACCACTGGACCAAAAACTGATCAAGAAATCAAAGTAAGTGCATTTTTCCAGATTACTCTCAAACAAAGACACAGCCAGGAGCCTTCAGACACTGGGAAAGGGGTCTAGCCAGAAATCTCAGCTTGGGAGCATAGCACATGGAAGCCTTCCGATGCAAGGACCAGAAGTGAGCCAGGGAAGCCTAGAGCCTGAAGTTGTATGCCAGGGGGCACGGAGATGGGGGTCTGAACCAAGGGTACCTGGATGGGAGGTCTATCTAAGAGTACCTGGAGCCAGAAGCTGTTTCCCTAATCCCAAATGAGGGTTCAGAGTCCTGGGGGAGAGGAAATGATCAGGAGGTGTCCTGGATCAAACTGTCCTACATAGATGGCCTCAAGTGCAGCGCACTCCACAGAAGCTTCTGAAATCCTTGAAGAATGCAGTTTCATTACTTAGACTTCAGATAATACAGATAAGTAGCAGAGAAGGCTCCATCATTCTTTTCAAAAGTGTATAGTGGCTGACCCCAACACAAAGTCGCATTTCAGGATGTAAGGCTGGAGAAATAAGCAAACAGAAGAAAACAACAGAAAAATCAATCAAGAGAAGATAACGTCAACTATGAAGAAATATTATGGCACTAAGGGAACTTGTGAAACAAACCCAGAGGAAAATAACTTCATATCATCTATAAGGAAAGCCTCAAAGAAATTCAGAAATGTGCCAAGGCTGTAAAAGAAATAAAGCAAGAATTTTTAAGTGGCTATCGAAATGAAATTAGAGCTCTAGAGAAAAGAATGGGAAAGGAAATGAGAGCTCTAGAAGAGAGAATGAGGGGAAAAATAAACAGCTTAGTACCACAGATGCAAAACCTTGCTCAAGGAAGCTGAGTCAAATATCACTTCCTCTAGGAAGCCTGTCCTAATCCTCTTTGCTGGACCTTCTTTCTTAGCCCTCATATAACACTTAGTTTTTGCCCCTTCTTTAATTCAGTTGTCATATAATACTGGGTAGTAAAGTTAATTATCTGTGCCTCACTCCCTTAATAAGCTGCAAATTCTCTATAGACAGAGAGTCTGTCATATATACACCTTTCCTCTCCCCCAGCACACAACATGGGACTCTGTACACAGCAAATAAATGTTTAATAAATGAATGGATGTTAATTTTCCAAGCTTATTCAAGAGCTCTTGTGCTTGAGGATTCTTCTAAAATGATCCCAGACACCCCTAGATTTATTCAAAGAATGAACTGACCTCAGCCAACATTCATTAAGCACCTACTGTGTACAATCCTATTCTGAGCACTGGAGGAGACAGAGGTCCATAAGACTGCCTTCTAAGACCTTGCAGTGTAGTTGGGGAGAATAAGGCACACGCACCAATAAATCAGAGACAAGGCAGAACATGCTGAATGAATGTGAGCTGCTAGGCAAGGGGTCCAGGAAAGAAGGGTCACTTCTGATGATCAAGGAAGGTTTCAGGGGGTGGCAGGATGGAGCTGGGTATCCAACATTGTAAACAATTTTTAAAAGTTGGAGGGTGGAAGACATGCTGGAATGAGGAACACAGTAAATAACGAAAGAAGCAGGAAACATGCGGTGTGCCTCAGGAATGACGAGTAGTCTAGTTTGGGGAGCAAAGAGTGCATGGATGGGCATGGCATGTAGAGATGAAATGGAAAGGCAGGTTTTGTTGGTGCTGCTGCCACTGTTTCAGTAGCATCTAACTCTCTGCAACCCCATTTGGGGTTTTCTTGGCAAAGATACTGGAGTGGTTTGCCATCTTCTTCTCCAGCTCATTTCGCAGATGAGGAAACTGAGACAAAGGGTTAAGTGACACATACAGGCTCACACAGCTAGGTCAGATTTGAACTCAGGTCTTCCTGACTCCAGGCCCAGCACTGTATCACCCAGCTGTCCCAAGGTAGATTTCAGTCTAGTCATAGGAAGCCTTGAATGCAAGATAAAGGAATCTGAATAGTTTCTTGTAGCTTACATTTCTACAGTGCTTTATAGTTTACAAGGTTTGCCTCAAAACCTCTTTGTCAGAGAGAAAGTTCTCATTTTATTTTATTTATTTTACAGGTGAGAAAATGAGGCATAGAGAGGTTACTCTTGCCCAAGACCACACAGATAGTAAAGGGCAAAGTCAAGACTCGAATCCAAGGCTCCTGATTTGATGAAAAGCATCTTGGATTTGGTGTCAGGAGAAGACAGGTTCACATCCCAGCTCTGACTTTCACTGCTTGTGTAGCCTCGGCTGAGGCAGTGTGGTATCACATGTAGACACTGGACTTGAAGTCAAGAAGACCCAAGCTTAACTCCTACCTCAAACATTTACTCTATGCAAACCTGGGCAAGTTAACTCTCCTGAGCCTCAGTTTCCTTATCTGTAAAATGAGGGAGTAGGACTTTGGTGTCTGAGATTCTTTCCAGCTATAGACCGACGGTCTTATGAGCCTATGATAAGAAAAAGTTCATTAACTGCTCTGGGCAGGGCTCTGGGCTGGGCAGTGGATGGGCACTGGTGGGAGAGAGGGGGAAATAGTTAATAGGAGCTGGTCTATGTCCCAAAGTGCTCCCAGGACAGCGTGGAGGCCTCAGTTTCTTCACTTGTAAAGATGACCTTGTAGGTTGCTTCCCCTTTAGATCCAGACTCCAAGGATCCCCTGTCTAGTCCCTAGAAGTTCCATAGAGGTCAGCCCGTATTATGACCTTTCTGCTGATGGCATTCTCTGATGTCTCATTGTGCTGTGATGCTGACCCAAGGCACTCCAAGAGCACAGCTGGGGTGAACCTACCAAGCTAGACGGGCATCAGGCCCAGGCCAAGTGACAGACTGCATGGCTGTTGTCTGGAGACTGTCCCGGCTCTCCAGAAGGCCAGCCCAGCCACCAGATTTGCTTGGACACAACCATGTGTGAATCTACCTACTAAGGTATGATGAGGTTGGGATCCATGCCAACCAATAGGAGGGGCCCACCCTGGGGAAATCGTGGCTCCCGGAAACCTATGCTGCAGTTAGCATTCAGCTCTCTGGTCAAATTTGAGCAGCAGCTTCTACAGGAGGGGGGGGGGCATCTGTCCAGCCCTGCTCTGGTACCACCATTGAAGGATGTGACTTAACCAGCTCTCCTGAGGCAGAGATGCATTGCCACCTCCCCATGGCTCTGATGCTGTGTGTGCTTAAAATACATCCATCGAAGGAGCCAATTATAAAACCCAACAGCATCCTCAGAACTGCCTCCTCAGCTCCTGCTGCTGGGCTTCCTCCTCACCTGCTGTTCGCTGCCTCTTCCCTCCCCCATGCCACAGCACAACCTGAGCAGGCACAGGCTTGGCACCAAGTGCCCTGGTGCCCCCTGTCATCTCAGAGTCTTAATAAAGATGCCCACTGCCAGCTTTCCAGGGCCCGGGTTCCAGTTTTCTCTTTCAGGCTTGCCTGTGGAAAGTTCAAAAGTAAGGCCCCTACAGGAATCTTATCTTAGAATGACCTGGCCAGGTGAGACATTTATATTTTCAGCTTCCTTTCACACAGCATTGGGCACCCACTATGTACCCTCATAGAGATTTTGGTTTAATGGTAGGAGGGGGAATAAATCATGCACAAAAATAACCATGCAATCTAATTACCAAATGCCTGCTATGCACATCTTTCTAACCCGGAGCTCTGAACGTTGTTTGGGCCTTGGCCCCACTGGACAATTAGTCTGGTAAAGCCCATGGACCCCATCTCAGAATCATGTTGTGAAATGCAATGGGATTACAAACGGGATTACAAGAAGAACCAGTTCTATTGGACTATAGCCATCCCTTTCTTCACCTGAGTTCGCAGAGCCCAAGTTAAGCACACCTATTCTAAGACTAAACTGCTAAGCAGGCGCAGCTCTGCCTGAGAAAGGTTTCTCAAGAGTTCTCTATACCAACAAAGCCCCAACTCTGGCCCCAAATAAAAACAGGCAAGCCATTACAACAGATGCTGGGGGTTCTGGAATCCCAGGTTTAGGGTGAAGGGACCTTAGCAACCATGGTGCCCAACCCTCTGTTTTTACAAAGAAGGAAACTGAGGCCCAAGGGGAGAGTGACTTTCCCAAGGTCATTTTCTTTAAGAGAATTTAGCTATGAAGGCAGTTTCTCATTCTTTATTCATTCATTTCATAGGCATTTATTAAACACTCTTGTGCAGAGGCTCTATGTTCAGCCCTGAGTATATGAAGAGGAAATAATTCCTACCGTCAAGGAATGAATGAATGGATGAGTGAGTGAATGAATGAATGAATGAAGCATTTTAAGTATTTATGATGTGACAAGCACTGTGCAAAGTAATAAGGATAGAGATAGAAAAGTAGGATAGTAGGGTGCTCTCAGGAGCTCTCATTCCAATGGAGAAGACAATGTATAGAGAAGGCTCCAGCTGCAACTCACATGGGAAGAGGTCTCCTAGTCCTTAGGGGGCAGAAGCAAAGCAGATGGTCAGGCCTCATCTTTCTTTTTTTTTTCTTTAGCTTAATAGTATTTTATTTTTTTCAATCATACATAAAGATAAGTTTCAACATTTATTTTTATAAGATTTTGAGTTCCAAATTTTTCTCTTTCCCTCCTCTCCCCACTCCCCAAGACAGCAAGCAATCTGATACAGGTTATACATGTACAATCATGTTAAACATATTTCCTCATTAGTCATGTTGTGAAAGAAGAATCAGAACAAAAAGGAAAAAACAGAAGAAAGAAAAAAACAAAAAAAATTGAAAGTATAATGCTTCAATATGCATTCAGACTCCATAGTCTTTTCTCTGGATGTAGATAGTATTTCCCAACATGAGTCTTTTGGAAGTGTCTTGGATCATTGTATTGCTGAGAAAAGCTGGGTCTATCAAAGTTGGTCATTCAACAATGTTACTGATACTGTGAACAATGTGCTCCTGGTTCTGCTCACTTCACTCAGCATCAGTTCATGTAAGTCTTTCCAGGTTTTTCTGAAGTCCACCTGCTCATCATTTCTCATAGCACAATATTACTCCATTACATTCATGTACCACAACTTGTTCAGCCGTTCCCCAATTGATGGGCACCCCTTTGATTTCCAATTCTTTGCCACACAAAAGGAATGGCTAAAGGGTCTTTCCCCCTTTTATATGATCTCTTTGGGATACAGACCGAGTAGTGGTATTGTTGGATCAAAGGGTATGCACAGTTTTATAGCCCTTTGAGTATAGTTCCAAATTGCTCTCCAGAATGGTTGGATCCATTCACAACTCCGCTAACAATGCATTAGTGTTCCAATTTCCCCATATCTTCTTCAACATCTATTATTTCCTTTTCCATCGTATTAGCCAATTTGATAGGTGCGAGGTGGCACCTCAGAGATGTTTTAATTTTCATTTCTCTAATCAGTAGTGATTTAGAGCATTTTTTCATGTGATTATAGATAGCTTTAATTTCTTCTGAGAACTGCCTGTTCATATCCTCTGACCATTTAGCAATTGGGGAATGACCTGTATCCTTATAAACTTGACTCAGTTCTCTATATATTTGAGAAATTATGTCTTTATCAGAAACACTGGCTGTCAAAATTGTCTCCCAGTTTTCTATTTTCCTTCCAATCTTGGCTGCATTGGTTTTGTTTGTGTAAAACCTTTTTAATTTAATGTAATTAAAATGATCCATTTTGCATTTCATAACATTTCTCTATCTCTCGTTTGGTCATAAATTCTTCTATTCTCCATAGACCTGACAGATAAACCATTCCTTGCTCTCCTAATTTGCTTACTGTCTCACCCATTATGTCTAAATCACGTACCCATTTTGACCTTATTTTGGTATATGATGTGAGATGCTGGTCTATGCCTAGATTCTGCCCTACTCTTTTCCAGTTTTCCCAGAAGTTTTTGTCAGATAGAGAGTTCTTATCCCAGAAGCTGGGGTCTTTGGGTTTACCATAGTTTTGATGACTGCTGCTTTATAATATAGTTTTAGATCTGGTAAAGCTAGGCCACCTTCCCTTGCATTTCTTTTCGTTAATTCCCTTGATATTCTTGACCTTTTGTTCTTCCAGATGAATTTTATTATTTTTTTTCTAGCTCTATAAAATATTTTTGATGGTTTGATTGGTATGGCACTGAATAAGTAAATTAATTTAGGTAGAATTGTCATTTTGATGATATTAGCTCGACCTACCCATGAGCAACTGATAACTTTCCAATTATTTAGATCTGACTTTATTTGTGTGAAAAGTGTCTTGTAATTGTGTTCATATAATTCTTGAGTTTGTCTTGGCAGGTAGACTCCCAAATACTTTATATTGTCTACAGTAATTTTAAATGGAATTTCTCTATCTCCTACTGCTAGGCTTTGTTGGTAATATGTAGAAATGCTGATGATTTATGTGGGTTTATTTTATATCCTGTAACTTTGTCAAAGTTGTTAATTATTTTAAGTAGTTTTTTTAGTTGATTCTCTAGGATTCTCTGTACTATCGTATCATCTGGAAAGGGTAATAGTTTTATTTCCCCATTGTGTATTCTAATTGCTTCAGTTTCTCTTTCTTTTCTTATTGCTAAAGCTAATATTTCTAATACAATATTGAATAACAGTGGTGATAATGGGCATCTTTGTTCCCTCCACCCCGATCTTACTGGGAAAGCTTCTAACTTAACCCTATTACATAAAATGCTTACTGATGGTTTTAGATAGATACTGCTTATCATTTTAAGGAAAACTCCATTTATTCCTATGTGCTCTAGTGTTTTTAATAGGATTGGTTGCCATATTTTGTCAAAACTTTTTTCTGCATCTATTGAGATAATCGATCATACAATTTCTGTTAGTTGTGTTGTTAATATGATCAGTTATGCTCATAATTTTCTTAATATTGAACCAGCCCTGCATTCTTGGTATAAATCCCACCTGGTCATAGTGTATTATCCTCATGATAAGTTGCTGTAATCACTTTGCTAATATTTTATTTAAAATTTCTGCATCAATATTCATCAGAGAAATTGGTCTATGATTTTCTTTCTCTGTTTTGGCTTTTCCTGGTTTAGGTGTCAGCACGATATTTGTATCATAAAAGGAATTTGGTAGAATTCCTTCTTTAACCATTTTTCCAAATAGTTTGTATAATATTGGAATTGTTCTTTAAACATTTGGTAGAATTCACTTGTAAGTCCATTGGGCCCTGGAGATTTTTTCTTAGGGAGTTCATTGATGGCTTTTTCAATTTCTTTTTCTAAAATGGGGTTGAGTATTTTATTTCCTCTTCTGTCAATCTGAGTAGTTTACATTTTTGAAAGTATTCATCCATTTCACTCAGATTGTCAGATTTACTGGCATACGGTTGGACAAAATAGCTCCCAATTATTGTTTTAATGTCCTTTTCATTGGTGGTGAATTCACTCTTTTCATTTTTTATGCCGGTAATTCGGTTTTCTTCTTTCTTTTTTCAATCAAATTAACCAGAGGTTTATCTATTTTATTGTTGTTGATTTCATAAAACCAGCTCTTAGTTCTATTTATTAGTTCAATAGTCTTCTTATTTTCAATTTTATTAATCTCTCTTTTGATTTTCCCCTGAATTTCCAATTCTTAGCCACCACAAAAAGAGCTGCTGTAAATATTTTTGTACAAATAACTTCTCTCCCTGCCCCTCACCTTTTTGTGGAATGTCTTTAGGATATAGAACTAACAGTGGTATTGCTGCACAGTTTTATACCTCTTTGGGCATAGCAACTATTCATTTGTAATGTTCTGTGCTCTGACCTTCCCTGTTTTAAGGCCTCTCCCAGACCTGACATTCCCTGTTCTGAGGTCCCTTCCAGCAGTGACATCCCCTGTTCTGTGATGTTTCTGGGAGGCAAAGTAGTGGATAGGAGACCACAGAGTTATAAAATGACCTGGGTACAAGTCTCACCTCTGATACTATTGGGTGTGTGATCCTGGGCAAACCTTTCTGGGGTGCAGGCACCTCTCTAGGTCCCTACGTTGCAGAACAGCCTCTGCTCTGCTATATAAAAGGGAGTTTCCTTACCAAGAGCTCCCTATACCTGTGAAGTCACAGATCTGGACTTTATAAAATAACTTGTTCCAGCCAACCCCATTCTAAAAGGACCAATGAGGCTTCTTCCTCTTTTTTAAAATGGCGCCCACATCAGAAGCAGGAATGTTATGAATCAAAGGCTCTCTCTTAAGAACTGCCCTGGCGGCCACCCAAGCCAGCCAAAGACATTCCCAGCACACGTCAAGATCCTACGGAATCTGGGTCTGGACCAGACTTCAGACGAAGGTTAGAAGGCAGTGATGGGCTTCTGGGCCCAGGATCAGTGCCTGAGGGGAGCTGCCAGTAGCAATGGAGGTGGGCAGATTTCACCTTAGGCACATCTTGTTCCAGGAGTTATACAGGATAGAAACTCCGTAGGCAAAGAAACATTTTCCTTCAGAAACAGTGGATCAGATTATAGACTATCTAAGTGGCAGTGATCTCAGGGGCCATCTAGTTCAGTCCACGCAACAACAACAATAATATTTAACATTATATAGTGCTTGCTATGTGGCAGGCATGGAGACCAGAGATTGAGGAATCTAGGAAGTGGGTCACATTTGGCAGCTAGCCAGCCTTGTTCTGCTTGGAGCTGGAGGACTGAACCAGGAGCATGGGGGACATGGAAGAGAAGCACATTTCAGCTTGATAGAAAGAAAACTGCTTAACAGTGAGAATTGTAGGAAAGTAGCCAGGAGGGCCTGTCTCAGGAGGAAATCAGAGTCTGCAGAAGAAGGAGAATTTCCTAGATGTCAGGCAAAGGGTTAGAGTAGATGCCATCTAGTTTTCTTTTCCTCTCTCAGATTCTGTGAAGTCCATTTCCATCTCTGAGCCTCAGTCTCCTCATCTATAAAATGGCTGTCATAATTTTTGTACAGCCTTCCTCCCAGGGCAGTAGGGAGCAAAGGGCTTTGTAAACCATAATATCCCACAGAAAGGGGAGCTACCAATTTTTTTTTACAATAGCAATTTACAAGGTAACTAGAACCAACCTTCTGGTCTCATTTGAGAACCCTGGACAAGTCACTTCCCAGCACATAACAGGAACTTAATAAATATTTATTGGTTGATGGGTTCCCCTTTTGGGGCCTCAGTTTCTAGCTATTTAAAAAGCTTGGATCACAGACTCAAAGATCTAGAACATAAATTGACCTCTAAGAGATCATCCAGTCCAATCTCTTCATTTTACATATGAGGAAACTGAGGCTCAGAGAAGATGAGTCACTTGCCCAGGATCCACGCAGTTCATGAGTGTCAGAGGTGGTGTTTGGCTTCTTCCTGACTTCCAAGTCCAGAAGGGATGGCTATTACATCACCCTTGTGCTCCCAAGGGAATGTGGAGACCATCTCCTCCAGAGCCCTCATTTTTCAGAGGGAATAACTGCTATCTTGACCTTGCATCTAAGTCCAGGTTTTGCACACAGTAGGCAATGAACAAATATTTGCGGAATAGGATGCAACAGAAGCAATATGCCCCTTACAAGGTTTTGTCTTTCCAATTCCACCACCTTAAAACTCACTGATCCAGAAGCAGTTTTAGATCAATCAATGGGTGGGGCAAATGGTTCTTGCAAACATTGTTCATAGATCATAATTCAATTCAACAAACATTTGTTAAGTACCTACTATGTGCCAGGTAGTATGCTGGGTGTTAGGGATAGAAGGAGCTCATACTCTACCCGGGGACACAACCTGGGTGCTTAGGAGCAAATATGAGGTGATTTAAGCATCTGGGGAAGCTAGGGAAGATGTTGCGCAGGAGGTGGCACTTTGGGAAAAAGATAAGAATCCTAAGAGGTAGAGATGAGGAGCACATTCAAAACATGGTGAGGATGGGGGCAAGGAGACAGCCTAGATAAATGCTTAGAGGTGGGAGATGGAATACTAAATTGGGGAAACAGACAGCAGGTCAGTTTGGCTGGAACAACTCATTGAGCATCATTCATTTATTCAAAAAATACTTATTCAATCAGACTACAATCCCCTGTGTGTGGGAACTTGAGTTCCTACAAGCACTGATAAGGTGTAACCTCTGGTCTTACAAAGCTCCCAGTCTAGTGGGGAATACAAGGTGTTGAATCTAATGCCTATTAGTATATTATAAATCCATGAGTACAAGGTGTAGTGAAATCAAAGGAGGGAGAAATCACTTCCAACTAGAGACAGGGACCAGCAAAGGCTTCCTGGAGGAGGTGTCATTGGTATGGGGCCTTGAAGGGCAGACAAAAAGTCAGGTAGACATTTACACGAACATAGCCCCTAACCCAGGTGGGCCGTGTGGATGTCTCACTTCAGTTTCCGGTCCTGTGGCCTGCAGAACCTAAGCAAGTCTCAGTGACGACCTCTGGTCCCTTTCTGCAGCCTGGAGGTGACTCTAGGTTTTTAAGCCTCTCCCTCAGCCCTCTTCCCCACTCAGCCACAGCTCCAGCTGGCTGCCCCCGGACTCCACAGGAGCTGTGCATCAGGACCCATGATAGAGAGACTCCTCCCTAATGGTTTCTATCCTCTCCTTGCTCAGGTAATTCCCTGACGGATCAATGACAGCCAAACGATGACAAGTTGTGGCCAACAGTCCTTGAATGTGCTCATGGTCATTCTCTCATTGCTGTTCTCAGCAGGTAAGGAAGTCCCTGCTAAATTCATCCTCTTGGGATGGGAGCTGGGCCTGGGAGGAGACAACAGCAGCCACTGTGCATGGCCGGGTAGAGCCAGAGGGTCAGGTGGGGGCCACACAGGAGAGAGTGAACACCGGAGAAAATACAACAAATCCCATTCCTACCTCTCTAGGAAGAGCCCAGGGGGTCAGGAGGGCCAGAGTCACAGGATTTCTGCAAGGAGGGTGGTAGAGTGAGATCTCAGCAAGCAGCAAGGGATAGTGGAAAGAGGACTAGATTTAAAGTCATAGGTCATGAGTTCCAATCTTGATTCTTCTTGTATAACCTTAGACAAGTCATTTTCCCATCTCTGGGCTTCAGTTTTCTCAGGTAAAAGATGATGGTGTTGGACAAGAAAGGTGCCCTCTGTCCCTAAATCTCTGATGCCATGAGCTCACTTCTGTGAGAAAAAGGTCTGTCTCTCTGCCCCACCACCTTACCACGATACCCCCTGGGTTCCAGCCTCAACCCCTGCAAAGCAAAAAAGCTTGGAGTGGGTGACCAGCTCTCTTACAGCCCAGGCCACACAGAGAGCCAAGGTCCTGGAGCAAACCCTATTTTAAATGGCACATTAAGGGTGGCTTATCTATTCAGGCCCAGAAGCCTTTTCTGCTCCTTGGAATCCCAGCTCAGCGTCTAAGAGTGTCTATTCTCCATCACTAGCAAACACCGCTGACCTTTCACAAATGTATTTCCAGGCCTCTTGTCTCATTTTCCTGGTGCTGAGATGCAGGTACTTACAAGGCTATTTGTGCATCTCGGCCATGATTTCTTTCCCTGAGATGTGCAATGAAGCGTCTCCCACAAAGAATGAGTCCCAGAGGCCACTGCCTGGCTCGCTGTGCTGCTGACACCCTGCCTGTCCCTGCCGCCATGGAGAGGTGCAGCACCGGGAAACAAGCTGGATAGTCAGTGACAGCAGAGAGGGCCAGCAGGGTGGGGGAGAAAGAGTCCAGCCAGGGGAACTCAGACCCCGGGCTTTGATACTCACTGCTCCTATGACCGTGGGCAGATCCCTTCCCTAATCCTCTGTAAAAAGGCAGGGGTAGGGGGAGTCTACATGGCCTCAGAGATCCCTTCCATCTCTGACATTCAGGTGCTGGGATTTGAGGTCCAGAGATCCGTGTTCAAATCTGGCTTTAATATCTTGTTAGCCATGTGGCCTTGGGGAAGCCCTTTCCCTTGTCTGGGCCTGAATTTCCTCATCTGTCAGTGAAAGGTTTGGTCTAAGTAACCTCAAAGACTCCTACCAGCTCTAAACAAATGGTTCTATAATCCAGATTCCCTTCAGCTCCCTGGACCCAAGTGTGCTTTTCTCTGAACTACAAGATTGAACTAGATGTCCTCTAAGGGACATTCTGGAACATGGAGCCTAATTAATGTGACACTAATTATAACTCCCATTCCCATGGTCCTTGAAGATTTATAAAGCCCTTCCTCTCAATGGCATTGGAAGCCGGCTAACACGGGCATCATTTTCCCTACATCTTACAGATAAGGAAGGTGAGCCCCAGACCGGGCGAATGATCTACCCCAGGTCACACAGCTGGTAAGAGTCAGACTGGACCTAGAGTTCAGGTCTCCTGACATCAGATCCCTGATGCCACCAACTGCAGGACTTCCCTGACTTTTTAAAATTTGTGGCACTTCTAGCATTTTGCTAAAAACAAAACAAAACAAAACAAAAAATCCTTCACAGTGGGACGAGTCTGAACATCTGACTGGAACTCATTGAAAATGACACAGAGTAACTGCAGATATGGATGCCTGCCCATTGCTTAAAGATATTCATTAAGAGGCTGAGAGGATTCTCTCTTTTTCTCCTTTCTCAGGCTTCCTTATCTCCCGTAGTGAATCCTCCCTGTGGTGGAGGTAGGAGTCTGTCTGCCAAGTTCACCTTTCATCAGCTATAGAACTAGAGGGACCAGAGAGATTGAGGCTAACCCTATTAGTTTATAGAAGAAGAAACACTGGGCCTTAATTTTCTTCACCTGCAAATCAAAATCAATACAAGGGCCTACCTAGCTCTATCTAGCCGAGTAGCGTAGGTTTGGAACTGGAAGGGACATCGTTAAGCCCAACCACCCCACTTTGCAGATGAAGAAACTGAGGTCTGGGGAGGAATTGCCTGGGGTGTTTCACATAGGTCACCCAGGAGCTAACTGGAGAGGCAGTGTGATCCTAGGGTAAGGAGATTGGCTCTGATAAGAGAAACCCAAAACCTACTTCTGATCTTTGCAATCTGAGTGACCCTGGGCAAGTCACTGTTTCTCTGAAGTTCAGCCGAGATTGGACTCCACGGCCTCGGAGGTGCCTTCTAGACCCAAGCAGTGATTCAGGATTCAGACCCTGGCTTCTCACTGAAAGCCTGTCCATTTCTTCATCGCCCTGATTTTAGCTGAATGCCTAGAGAAGGGCTTCAGCTTACCCAGGGTTGGAGAGCTATTAGGCAACGGACCGTGAAGCTGGGTTTTGTGCAGTTCGTTCTTTTCTGTGCAAAGCCAGATGTATTTAGTCTGTCCAGCTCGTCTGCCCAAAGTCCAGATGTCCATCCAGCTATTTTGTCCATGCCAGCCACCACGTATATACTGAGCACCTCCCGCTTGCTTGGTTAGTGTGAAGGGCACACGGTGAATAAGCTGTGGTCTTCAAATCAGGACTTTGGGCTGGAAGAGACCTGAGAAATTATCTAATCTGATCCCCTCATTTTACAGAAAGGGAAACTGAGGCTCGATTATGGGGAGTGTCTTACCCCAAGGTTACCCAGGTACCAAGCAATGTAGGAAGTCAGAGGTCTTCTCACTCCGAAGAGTTCTAAAGGAGCCCCAGCCTGGCCAGAGAGAGAAATCTTTACCCAGCTCCAATGCCTCCTCTTCCATGAAGTACTATTGGGTTACCCCCAAGTCATGAGTGATATCTCCCTCCTCCAACGGCCTTTGTGTTTGGGGATCATAGAATTGGAGCTGGGAGGGCCCTCTGAGCTCCTGTAGCCCAATTCCTTCATTTTACACTTGGGGAAACTGAGGCCCACAGAATAACTTGCCCAGGGTTACACAGTCAGTAAATATCTGAATTAGTATTTGAATCCAAATGTGACTGCAACTGTAGTAGGAGGTCAGGGGAAGGGGTGAGATCAGCATCAACTCATCTCCAACAACTGGCCAGCTCTAGCATCAACTGGATGAAGGCCGTGGGACTTAGGTGGGCCTTGCAGGATGGTTATGGTCCATGGGAGGAAAGAGGAGAAAGTTCCTAGGATCCTGGCTCTAGTACCAGGAGGAACCTTAGAGGACATTAAGTCCAACCCTCCCATTTTTCAGATGAGGAAACTGAGGCTCAGAGAGGTGAGAAAGTGACTTGCCCAAGGTCACACAGATAATAGCTAAGATTGAATTAATATCTAGATTTGTGTGACTCCAAGTTCAGGGTCCTCTCCACTATAGCACGCTGCCTTCAAAGGGAATAAGGGGAGTAGACTGAGCCTTAGTACTCAGAAATCCCAAGGTCAGGATTTGGAAATTCTACAGGCATGGATTAAGCACTTACTGTATACCAACTCAGGGGTGAGAGCTGTGGGAATACAAGGAAGCAGAACAGTAGACCCAGCCCTCATGGAGCTAATAAACTGGGGGGAGGGTGTCACGGAATAAGACGGGTGCAGAAATTGCTAAAATATAAAATGGAAGATGGTAAGTAGGCAAGAGGAGTAGAGCCAAAATGAAACTGGAGTCCAGATGAGGGTCAGATCCCTACTTCCCAGGGATCTGGGAAATCAGAGAAGGCTTCGTGGAGGAGGTAGCATTGGATAGGACAGAAAAAAGGGATGGAAAGGGAATCCCGGGCACGGGGAACAGTATGAACAAGGGAGGCAGGAGCGACATGGTTTAGGAATAGTGAATCATCCGTTTTGTGTAGAACACAGAAGATGCGATGCGGGGCAAAGTGAGGTGAGGTTGGAGCCAGGCTGGGGAGGGCTCCGGAATGCACGCTTGATCGTGTTGGCAGTACAGAGCCCCAGGGCAGTTCAGCAGGTGAGTGTTCGGGTCAGAACTGAGCATAGGAAGGTGGCTCTGACCGGTGGGGTAGACACCTCCAGCGGGAGGAAGGAGGGCAAGCCCCGCTCTTCTCTCCGGGAGCAGGCGCCCGAGCCGGCGCCCGGTCACAGAGCCCTTCTGGCGGGTTTGTTTTGCAGTGCTGTCCGCGCACTTTAGAGTCTGTGAGCCCTACACCGACCACAAAGGTCACTACCACTTTGGCTTCCATTGTCCTCGGCTTTCCGACAACAAAACTTTCGTCTTGTGCTGTCACCATAACAACACGGTCTTTAAATACTGCTGCAACGAGACGGAGTTCCAGGCGGTGATGCAGCTGAACCTCACCAGGCAATCCGAAGGCTACATGCATAAGTAAGTGGGTTCCTTCAGCCCCCGGTTGACCCTCATCTTTAAAGGATCCCTTTCCAAGGGGTTTGGAGTCGGGCTTGACCCGGATGCAAAGCCTACCTCTGACTCTGCCCAAGCACTGGTGTCCCTTTCTGACCTTCACTTTCCCCATCTGTAAAATGGGAATAATAATTCCCAAACTACCTATTGCTACCATCCAACATTGTTATAAAGCAAAGTGCCAGATAAAGGAGAATGACTGTTTGGGCATCCTTCCTTCCTCTGGCACCAGTGCCTGCCTCCTACACACACACACACACACACACACACACACACACACACCCCAAGAGAAACATCAGCCTGTTATATTGTTAGCTTATAAGACCAATCACCCAATACTGTCTGGCATTCAGTCCCCAAAGCTCACATAGCCTTCTGCCCAACATAACTCGAGGGGACACAAAATAATAACAGCGCTCTCAGAATTCCAAATGCTTTATAAACATTAACAAGCCCTAGCCAGGCCCCGCTAAGAACGGGAGGCAAATGTGATCGTCACCTTGCTCCAGATGGGAAACACAGTCCCTGAGGGAGGTAAATGGTGCCAGAATGAGAATTCCAGTGAAGGAATTTAATATGAAGAGGCAGAGAGCCGGCTGGAGGCTTGGCAGGCAGAGGGCTCCAACTTTTCAAATGGAGTGGAGAGGGGATTTTTTTTTAATCCTTATTTTTAAAACCATGTGCTTCTATAATCTGCATATTTGCATGTGATTTCACACTAAAGCTGCTGAATGTTTCAGTGTTTGGTTCCTGAAGCTCATTGAGCAAATTTCAAATGAACCATTTGTCTCCAAGAAAAGAGGGAATCATTGAATCTTAGGATCATGAGCTCTTCAAATCAGAGCATCCTAGAATCTTAACATCTTAAACTACAGTGTCCTTGAATCTTAGATTTGGAATATCCTACAATCCTAGAATCTTAGAATTAGAGTATCCTAGAATCTTAGAACTAGGATATACTAGAATCTTAGAACTGGAGTCTCCTAGAATCTTAAAACTGGAGTCTCCTAGAATCTTAGAACTGGGGTATCCTAGAATCTTAGAACTAGGATATCCTAGAATCTTAGAACTGGAGTCTCCTAGAATCTTAGAACTAGAGTATGCTAGAATCTTAAAACTGGAGTGTCCTAGAATCTTAGAACAGGAGTATCTTAGAATCTTATACTGTAGTATCACATAAGCTTAGGGTATAGTTTCATAGAATCTTAGGATTGAATTATCAGACTCTTAGACTACAGTACCATAAAATTTTTAGAATAAAGTATATCTTACATACTAAATCTCATATAGTATATCTTATCCAGTTATCATAGAATTTTGGAATCTTAAAATCTGAGTATCTTAGAATCTTGGAATCAAAGGATACAAACTAACAAATCCAATTCAACAAATACTTAAGTACCTACCCAGTATGAGGTGCTGTGCTAGAGGTACCTGAGATACAAAGGCAAAACAAAACTATTCCTGAGTTCTATACTCTGATCAGAGTATCTAAGTTTAAGAATTTATAGGTTTAACCTTTAAGTTTTGCTCCAAGACCCAGCTTGAGAGAACTACTTTGTAAGCATAGTACAGAATGTCAAGACTAGGGCGGGGGGTGGGGGTTGCTTAGAACAGAGATGTCGGAGCTGAGAGGGGTCTTAGAAGAGAGAATGTCAGAGTTAGGAGTGGCCTTAGAACAGGGAATGTCAGAGCTGGGAGGGAGCTTAGAACAGGAGGTGTCAGAACTGGGAAGAACCTTGTAGAATTGAAGGGGACCTTAGAGGTCATTTAGTAAGACCCCCTCATCTTACAGATGAAGAAACTGAGGCCCAGGTAAAGAAAGTAACTTGCTCTGCAGATCACCCAAGTAAGCAGAAAGCCAGCATTCATACCTTGGCCTCCCAGAGCAGCAGTAGCCCCTCCCAATCCCTCACTGCCTCCGTGGATGTGAGTCACTGTCGTCTTTCACATTATTAACTGTTGGGATCGTCCCTTTAATGGAGGAGAGCTGGGGGAGTAGAGCTTAGAGTGAGCTGAGCTGAGCCAGTCTCCTCTCCCCACTCAGTCTCCCCAAACCTCTCTGCTTCTCCTTGGCACATGAATCAGCCCCAGAGACGGAGCTGGTGGCAGCCAAAAGGGTAACCAGCTTGGTGATGGATGCCTGATTTATTTGTGTTTTCTAAAAGAACAGAATGGCTTGTTTGGGTTGGGGCTGTTTGGCAGATGGAAAGCCAGGCCAGGCTGCAGAAAACTGTCTGATGGGGGAGCTCACCAAAACAGAAACCAGGCTCCTTTGGGGGTCAGGTGGATGGCATACAGGGCACTGAGGAAGGGAGAAGAGCACCAGAAGCACCTGATTTCAAGCATTGCCTCTAGGGTGCACCCTGGTCAAAACACTAAACTTTTCTGTGCCTTGGTTTCCAAATTTGTAAAACGGAGAAAATCAATCAAGTATTTATCAAGTCCTTGTTGTGACTCAGCCACCATACTAAGCACAGGGGTACAAAAACAAATAAACAAACAAAAAACAGCTCCTGCCCTCAAGGAGCTTATATTCTGACTGGGGAGACAACATTGTAATGGAAGAAATATCTCCTTTTTGAGTTCATATAGTAGGTAACTTCTGTCTAAATAAATCTACCACAACACAGAAAGTACAGATGTAAAAACTTAGGCTTTATTTTGCTTAAGCACAGGTTCAGAGAGGTAGAAAAATCACCCCTGAATAGAGATTAGGATTTTTGGATGAGCTTTTATAGAGAAGATTATATCGTAGAGACAGAGAACTATTTCTCTTACATTCTGCAAGCTTGTACATTTTGGGAGGCTAGAAAAATTAAGAAAAAAGACAGATTCATAACCCCATGCTTCCTTCAGTGTCATAAAAGTAGAACAAACTTAGTTAAGCAGAGTCATAATCTCATACATTCCCCCAAGGAAACAAACCTAATTAAACAAAGTAGGTAAACTAAGTCAGGCTACTGATTAAACTACATTTAGAAGATCCACAACTAGGCTGATGGAGGGGGGAGATTCACATGTCGATAGAGGCTGTGTCAATAGAATTCTTTCCTTAAATCAAATTACTTCGGAAGTCTCGAGTCCCTTTTTCTACTTCTTATCTGAGAAATTTTAAACAGTCTTCCTTTAACACTAGTATGCCGTGAATCAGGTTTTGGTCAAGTGATGTTAATATTAACTGAAGACAGGCTTTCAGTAAACCAGAGGTTGCAAAATGAATGGTCCTGAACCCCAAACAACAAAAATTAACAAAAAAAGAAATCAAAGGTGGCAAATTATAATCACAAGCTCCTTGAAAGTTTCACTTTTGTCTTTCTATCCCCAGCACTTAATACAGTACCTGGTACATACACCACAGAGTCTTAATAAATGCTTATTGATGGATTGATTGTCATCATTGGATACTTGTTCACCTGACTTACAGGGGTGTTTTGAGGAAAGAGCTCTATAAAATCTGCAGCTTTCAAGAAACGAGTTGTTGCTGCGAAGAGGGAGACGATCAGAACCACTTCTGATTCTGCCTCTTCTGGGAAATTTCTGTCATCCCCCTCATTCACAGAGGGAGCCTGGTGCTCAGGAAAAATCCCTGAGCTTGGGATCAGGAGACAGAATTCACATCACAGCCATCACTTCCTAGATGCCACATCCCAGTCCCCTTACCATCCTCACTGGTCCTCTCTCACTGGAATTCTTCAAGTGAAGGCTAGATGACCACCTCTCAGGCATGTTGTAACAGCGGGATTTTTCCTTGGGTATAGGTTTGATGATATGATTGCCCAGGTCCCTCCCAGCTCTGAAATGTTTGCCTCCCTCTGCGTCCGTGATAGCCTCTCTTCTCTGGAGATGCCCCAGTTTGTCAAAGTCCCTCCTAAAATATGGTACTCAGTTCTCTGTGGATTACAAATACTCATTGACCTGTAATGGGCTCTACCACATAGAAACCATTGTCTAGATGATCTATTATCTAGTAACACTTTTATCAGTAGCCACCTCCAATGCCTCACCGCAGTGTCAGGGTGACCCTGGGCTCTCAAAGTCTTGGAGCTTGGAGTCCAATCTTTGACTGATTCTTCTGGGCTAACACAGCGTCAAGTGTGGGCCCAATGATGAAGTGTGTGTTTTGTGGTGCAAGAATCAGCTGAGCTAAGCTCCAAGTAACTCATCGTCAGATTGGCTACAGATGACTGAATTTTTCCACCAAAGCAACTCTCAAAGTGCCCTAAGTCATAGAGAGGCTGCTATCTGTATCAGTGGAGGGAGCACCCCCACCGAGAAAAATTCATGACAAAATTGTTGTATCTCTCCACTGTCAGATCCAAAGGTGAACTGGAGAAGCTGTGGAAGTGACCTTGGAAGAGTGATCAGACGACATCCTGTTGGATTGAAATAGCCCTTATAGAAAAATGCACACATGGGATATCTTTTTCTGACATGAGTTTAATTGCAAGGAGAAAGCTTATCTCTGCAGATCAATGATCTGCTTTCTGTTGTCAAAAAACATAAACTCTGGCCCAGCTTGATCCCCTTAATGCCTTTGCTCCTCCATCCTCACCTTGAATATTTCTAAGTGACAAGAAACTCACTACCTGTCAAGGTAGACAATTTAATTTGTCATCTTAAGTCTAAATCTGCCACCTTGTGATTTCTCCAGGTTCTGCCCTCTGGGGCCAAGCAGGACAATGTTAATCTCTCATCTGTGTGGCAACCCTTCAAATACTTGAAAATAGCTGCTATTCTCCCTCCTCCGAAGTGTCCTCTGTCTCCATTTCCCTTAGGCAATCCTCCTATGATGTGGTCTCCTTTCCTCATACTATCCTGGTCCCCCTCCTCTTGCTCCCCAGCTCATCAATGGTCTTCCTAAAAGGTGATGCTTAGAACTGAACTCCAGATTCCACCAGAGTTGTCTAAGAGGAAAAGAGGTCAGAGGGACTCTCACACTTTCTCCCTCTGGCCCCATAATA